CAGGACAAAAATAAATAAAATCTTTTAAAAAATTATTCATTTTTCTACCCTCACTCTGTTAGCTTGGTCTGCTGGGAACAGTTGCTCTTTGTTTTTTTCTTAGCTCCAAGGAAGCAACTTCTCCATGTACCCATCCTGTGCCTGGTAGATTGGGACAACCATTCTGTGTCTGGAGTGCCTCTGACGTGGCGAGCTGAGTGGCAAAGCTCCAGTAACAAGGAAACAAGAGAAGCAGCAGCTCCTGACTGGTCAAGGTGGGTGTGCCAAGCCCTGCCCCGTGGACAGGTGACTGCTGGGTTCCATGGTCGCGGATCCTGCACTTGTGCCATGGCTGCCCTTTCCCACTTTGGTGGCTGGAGAGGCCCTCCCACGGGCTGACACCACATTCAGGAGGGCACAGGGCGCAGGTCCTGCCCTCTGTGCCAGTGACAGTGTGTGCCTTAATTGTTTTGACTGATTCAGGTCTATTCTACACTTTCATTGTACTTCTTTGTTGTATCAAGTATATGCTTATCTAATACCTGTTCCTTCTCTCTACTTTTCATCAGTTTTTCTCCACGTGGCCAGCACCATGCAGTGTTATGCACCATAACTCTGGCTAGAAGCTAGAAGCTAGCAGGTCCTGTCAGAGGCATGTGGGAGACAGGCCTGCACTCTGATCACCCCCGTGAGCTCTCCAAGGACATCTACCTCTCACGATCACTGCATCCCAAAATTCTCACAGAGCAGGTGAGCATACCTCCAGGAGGAACAGATTTGAACCAATTATGCCCATATCATAATGGCTAATGGCTGCTAATTTACTCAGGACTTATATACCAAGCACTTTGCTAAGCCTTTTATGCACAAATTCTCAATTCTTTTAAACCCTGGTGAAATATCAGCTCTCATCATTTCTAATGTATACTTGTGGAAATGAACTCAGAAAGACTAATTTTAGCTTCCTCCTTGTCCTCACAGCTGCTAAGTGGCAGAGTCAGGATTCAAACTCACATCTGTGTGACTCCCAAACTCAGAGAAGTGTTTACTATGAAACTACTGAAGCTTAAGTCTTAACACTCCCCCTTCCCCCTTCCTCCCTACCCCAATTTACATCAGTCCCCTTTAAGGCACAGAGAGGGCCCTAGCAAAATATTCACATGGTCCTATGTTCTTTACAATTTTTGTAAAGCTTAAAGCAAATTGAAAAACAGATCATTTCCTTATTTAGTTAAAACTGTGGTTTCTTTCCATTTCATCTTCCCTCTCTGATTTGTTCTGGTGGTGGTACAGCTGGGCAAATCTGATCCATCTACGAGGAATTTTAAGTGGGGATATATTCAACTTTTTTTTTGGGGGGGGGATATATTTATGTCACTTGCAATCTGTGATTGCAAGTTATTATTGGTTGTCCCACTAAAGCAATAGACTTCAGGAAAATCCTTGCTGTTCACTGTGCCTACTCAGCTGGACTCAGCCTTAAAAGTCCAGTCAGAGATTGTCCAGGCAGACAAGAGTGTGGCCTGTATCTTCACCATGGGAGGTATGTGGGGAGTGGAGGAGAAACTTAAAAAAAAAAAAAACAACTATATGTAAGCATAACTTATTTTTAAAATTCTATTTTCTCTGTAGAAAGTGATATGAAAATCTGTTGTTGTATTAAGAGGCAATCAGAGATTCAGCAGCTCAAACTACAGGAAAAGACTAGAGAGATGTGTAGAAATCTCTCAGGCAGTTAATTAATGAAAATTACTATATTATTTTTCTGGATTTTGTTTGGTCTGTGATAAATTTCAGCTTTTAAAATTCTATCAATTGTGGAAGCTCTGTTCTCATTCTAAATAGTAATTTTGCAGTTATTTTTTTGTTGATAACTTTATACTTCATAATCTTACATTTAATATTTTTCTAAAGAGGACCCCCCCCCTCAAATTGAGGTTCTTGGCATTAGTGATATTTTTCCTACTGAAAGAAAAGACTCATTAGTCCTCAGTATGGTTGGAACTGCAGGGTTTCAAGGTCTGGAAAAGCCTGAGCTCACAACACCTTATTTTATTATTGAGTTAACACTAGTTTACATCACCACATTATTCAGAGGAATAGACTCACACCCTCTACAACCCACCCACCTCAGAACACCCATATTCCTGTATCAGAGGACCTTTTTGTCCTCTCCCCAGTTTGTTCTCACCCCTATTAATCCCCTTTAGAAGCCTCAACTCTGTAGTCATATTTTTTAGGCTCATATTTTGTCAATTGTTCTGTTTCTCCACATTCCACAAATGGGTAAAAACACCCAGTATTTGTCTTTCTCTCTATGGCTTATTTCAGTTAGCATAATCTCCTTCAACTCCATTCATGTTGCAAATGCCAAGAGTTCATCTTATGACTGAATAGTATTCCATCGAGTACGTGCACCACATCTACGTGCATCCTCTAACTCGAACAGGAGGTTGCGGTGTCCTCTAATGCTAGGGGAGGCTACAGCAGGGAAATGGCACAACAAAGCTCCCGAGAGCGTGTGTGTACAGTGAGGGGTATGTACAATGCTTTCAAACACCATAAGGGGAGTAGGGGTGACTTACAAGTTGTCTGGTCTTTTGTGATGTGCGGTAGCTTTTCTTAATTGCAGCCAAGATGGAATTTGCTGATGCGATTTCCTTGGTCATCACAGTCCAAAGGGCACTTTTTGGTGCTGCCCAAGGAGTGAGGGTGAGATGTGAGCAGGTATGATGGTGGGGTAGCTGACATGCAGACAGCTCTGCTTCCTGGTGGGCTTTGGGTAAGGGGCCCACCGGAGTCAGGGTTAGAGCTTTCCGTGTCCTCCATGTCAGACCACATACCTCATTAATTCTGGTCCCACGGAGTCCACGTGGCTTCAGTTCCCTTCATGAACTGGCCTCCTTCATGGTTTCTGCTTATCCACCTGGTGTCTAGGCTGCAAATAACAGGTGATGATGATATACTTGTTCCCAATGAACACCGGACTGCAGTGAGAGCAAACTAACTCACTCAGTTTACTTAAACTGTAAGAAAGCGCCTCTTCCTGGCATCTCTTGCAGCCAACCAGGTATAAGCTGGTTACTGTCCTGGAGGAAACTTTGCTTACAACAGGCCAACAGAGGGACTATTTTGCTCAAAGGCTATGGCTAAAGGGGAGGGGAGAAGGGGTGTAATTCACCTATAAATTCCAGGATTAAAGGAAATTATTGTACAAAGTGAGGAACTTGGATTTCTAACAGAATGGCAAATGAACGCAGAGTCTCAGAACAGGGGCTCAGAACAGTCTCCAGAACAGTAAGAAAATTCATTTCTGTTATGGAAGCCTGCACCAGTCTGTGTTATGGCAGCCCTAGCAAGACTGATGTTGACAGAGACTTCATTGCATCCACATCAATAAACAGGAAAAGGCATTTCTTCAAGATCTATATTGCTAGGAGCTTCACATTTGGGATTTTGCACACATTGGTCTAGCCAAGTTGGGGATGTTTCTCTGAGACCTCAAACGATCCTCACCAAACTGACCTGCATTCTGGTATCTTCTGGTGAGTTCCCATGCTTGCCACCATCCCCAGACCACTAGCAGTTTTAAGCCTGTGGGGTCTGTTCTCCCAGTTATCTAAGATACTCTTTGTGCAACAAAGAGAGGAAAGAAAGCAAAGGGAAGTAGATAGTAGCTTTTCTTAAATACCGAGTAGGTTCTAGATCTGCTAGGTTAGGAGACAGGTAAAGGGGTGAAGACTTGTATGGTGATGAGCTAGGTATTCTAGTCTTCTCAGGAGAGGAAAAAGGGGAACAAAGTTGCTGCAGGCTCTAACGTGGGGGAGAGAAACTGGAAGAAATGTTAACTAGGCCCTGGGAGAAGGAAGAGCGGCAGGGGGCAGATAGAGAGAGCACAAGTTTCAGGCCAGTGCTGTCCAGCTGAACTTTCAGCCACAGGAAAATGTTCTCTCCCTGAGCTCATAACATTTCATGATGTTACTTACAGCCCTGTATAACTGAGTCCTGGAAACTTGACTGACGTATTAATTTTAGTTATTTTAAGCTTTAAGCTTTAGCTATATGTGGCCACAGCTTTAGGCAGCATGTTCTAGAGCTCACGGACGCCTGTTGCCTGCCTACCCAACAGCCTTGCTCATCGTTCTGTGTAGGTAGTTAGAGGCCAGGTGCTTAAGGGGAGAGCAAATGCCTCCCAACCTCTTTGGAGGTAGAGTCTAAGTCTAAGCAAGTTATGATTATTATAGTCCTCTTTCTGTTGATGGTTTAGGACCAGGCAAATGATGCAAATATAGCCAATGAAACATGAGGAAGGCAGCTAGTGCTCTCAAAACATAGTCTCCTTGATTTTAAAAAGGGTCTTAAAGGTCCTTCTTTTGGCCCTTAAATTTTTGTGGGAGATACGGTGCCCAGAGTTGTGGAACCATTTCATGCCCACGAGGGGACAAAAGCCAGTATTCTGAGGATGGCTGATATACATGATGGAAAGAGCATAAGTCTTCAGATGCTGCCACGCCATGGTATAACCTATCTTGGAATGTCCTACCTCCTCTGTTATGTGAGATAACAACTTTCTTTATTGGTAAGGCAATCTGGAACTGTGTCTTCTTTTAAACACAATCAAAACACAATCTTTGAAATGAGCAGGCAGTTCACGTTTCTGCCTCCAAAGCCAGCGCTATAAAATGGAGCACTCTTCTCATCATTCTTCTCAAACTACTGTTCCCAGCAGCCTCTATCAATCAGTTGGAGTTAATATACTAGATAAAAATCTGTTTGCTATTCCTGTTCGAAGACAAAAGAACACAAGCATCTGCTTTGCTGTAAACTCCCCCACAAACATTTTCTTCCCAAAGGCTAACAATTGCAAAGTGTTCCTCTAAAATCCATAAGGCATCAATACCCATGACACTAGCCCACAGGAACAATTCAAATAAGTCTGAATCAAGGAAAATGGGTTTTCTACATGCTCGAGGACATAAAAAATGTACTTATTTTTAAAGGGTCATTTCAGGCTCAGAGGGGAAGGCAGTCACACGGCAATCTTTATTTGAATATAATGGAGCAAAAAATCCTCTTTTATTAATCTGATGTACAGTAAATGTCTTTGCAGCTGTTACATGATGTTAGGTATCTGGCATATAAATGTATACACACTTCCACACTGGATAGATTTATGCTGTATACGAGTCACCCCACACGGAGCATGCCCTTTCATGGGGATACGCATGGCTATCTCAAGGACATTGTTAAAACACACTTGGTCAAACATTTTGGCAATCGCAAATCAGACACAGAGCATACCAGAAAGATGAGTTCACAACCAGCTATACTTAAGATAAAAACTCCACAAACCTGAAACAGAATATATTGGGGTTCACACATGCAGCACATATATACAGTACAAAGAGGGAGTGGGAACATTCAAAGCAAGTCTTACAGAACAGGAAAGACAGACAAGAAATAAGACAAAACCAAACCATACCAAGCACAGGGCTACTGCCAAGATCTCATTGCAAAGAGAGGGGATTGTAGGTTTGGCATGTGTCCGAAACAGAGCTGCACCTGAAGGAAAAACTCTCCCAGGATGTTATTTACAGCGTCTAGATGTTAGTAAAGGGAGTAGGATCCCGTCAACACGATCCTGGGCAGGGTAAGGGCATAGGAGTGTGTTTGGGTGCTGTGGAAGCACATACCAAGAAAGAACATGGCTTTTTCCTTCTGTCTGATTGAAGACACAGATCCGAGACAATAACTACATAATCACCGTTGCGGAAATGAGATTGGGCCAGTTTGTCAGGCCTGGCGAATGTCAAAGGCAAGGTAGGAATTTCCTTCTTGAACACCTACTTGGGTGTTAGAGTTATAACTTCAAAGAGCTTATTATTGTTTGTACAGCATAAAATAGCCAATGTACTAAACAGTCTGCCTGAAAGAACAAAACCACAGAAAGCAGTGGAGTCTCTGGACTGTGGAGTTCTATTCTGAACCGACACAAACACAGAAGGAAACCTTTGTGTACGACGGGAGGCTGACTTGCTCAATCTTTCCTTCACATGGGCTTATTGGCAGTGCTGACGCACTAGCTAGGGGACTCAGTTTATTGAGGCCTGTGTATATGGGGGGAGACCCCGAATTGGTGAGGGCTTTAGGTAGTGGTCAGCTGACAATGATTAACAACTGCCGGAGGGTTAAAGATCTGCAGTGTTGGTCAATTTCTGTGGGGGCAAATACTCTCCACCTTGGACTTCAAGCTACCCACACAATGTCCTTGAAGCACCACCCATGGGGGGAGGTGCACAGGAGCACACCACCCTCTGGGGCCCCACAGAACAGTAGGATGTCCATTACCTCAAGGGCATGGATAACATCAGAGTGTAAAATACACAGAAAGTGATGGTTTGAATATTTAATTACCTGCTTTTTTGAAACAGTGATGTTTACATCATTTAATTTTAAATAATGGCTTTGTTTTCAACTGGTTTGCAGACAATAGGTTCTGATGTGTTGGTTTGAGCTCCACTCCAGCCCATCACCACTTTGGATGGCTTTGCTCCTGGTGGCAGGCTCAGCCTAGTAGTCTCAGGGCACCTGGCAGGTGCTCTGACCCTGCCTCTGCTCTTCCAGGACCAGTTGCTGGCATGGTGTTGAGCCCAGTCTGCATTTGAACAGAGGGCTGAGGTTGCCTTGTCCTTTTACTTTTCGGCACTCTAGGCTCCAGTGAACATGAACGAGGTAGGGTAGGTAGTGAGGGAGAAACCCCTGCAATTTCAAATAGATCACAATGGAAGACACCAGCCTTCAGCAACAAGTAGGCACTGGAAAAGCACAGCCACTTCCCACAGGTTGATGAATTCCCCAAACTCTGAGACTTCTGCCCCAGAGATTTCGTGCGAGTGGTGCCAGGCCTGTCATCCACAGGAGTTGGGGAGCAGTGGGAAGTACAGCCCAGTATGGGCAGTCAGGAGCTTGGTCCCATCACACTCCTCCTCTTTCACATGTCCTCCACCCCCTGGGCCTCCACAGCAGGCCTTGATTGGCACATTCTTTAGTCTCAAGTGCCCCAGAAAAGCTTGAGCTGGCTTTTGTGCATGGCTAGAACCAGGATAGGATCAAGAGGTGACAAGAGGAGGGGTGGAGGAAGGATAAAAAGGAAAGAACGGAAGCATGACGCATGTGGCGCCTGGTGAAGGTGAGGTGGAGAGAGCTGGGGGCAGACAAGAAGCCAGAATTCTCAGTGAAGAGGGGACAGGGTCACCAACCACCGCCATCCCTCTGCTCTGCACCCCCCTTGACCCCAGAATCCCAAAGCTTCTTTGCAGCTTCCAGACACTTTGCAACAACCATGCACTCAATTTAAACTGAAATCTAACTTCACTGACAATCAGCACCTGTTTTCTGGGTGGCTTATCTGCTGAGGGTAGAGCAAGAAGAGATAGTCTGACTCAGTTGAAAGTCTTCAAAATCTGAAAGGAAGCACCCTTGGAGCCTAAGGCCTGGGATCTCGCAGCCCAGGAGAGATCTGCTTATTCAGTGCCCAGTCATGCCTGCCTTGGAACAGATCTTCCTCACAACTTCTAGTTTCAGGCCATGGAAAGCAACCTTGGAAGAAGCTGGGATTATAAAAATGAAATGGGCTAGCTTTGCTGTGATACTTTTCCTTGAAGGGAACCATAGTGTGATTTCCTGCGGAGACATTTAAAGAAATCACCAGTGTGGCTGCGCTGTTCTCAGTTTCCCTCCAACAAACTCGAGGGCTTTCTACTCCCATTAAGTATATTCCTAGCTCCTGGATAGTTCCTGTACTGCTCAATGTAGGCTACTTTTGCAAATTTGGAAAAATAAAATTTCGTTTGGGGGAGCAACATGTAATGGGGTTAATGTAAGACTCTAATTACAGATGTTTTCTCTTTCCTATATTCCTTCCCTTCATCCAAATTCTGCAAAGGGTTAACCTCTGTACATAGCAATATCTCAATACCCTGCACACAGGAGGTGCTCAATAAATACTGAATAGTCACATGAAATGACAGATTGGTGAAAGTTCTGTCCAGCCCTTCCCTTTAACCAGGACTGCAGACCTTAAACAGAGACCTACACAGACCCAAGAACTGTATTCTTGTAACTCAAGATCCTGGATCACTGAACTTGACCTAGGCATTGTTTGAGAAAGACCAAAGGAAGTCTGTGTCTGCTTAATAAGACACGATTCAACACTTGGAGCAATATTTGGGAATTAAATTATTGTCATTCCACATGTGAAACAATGAAGGGTCATACAATACATGTAGGGGATACTGACAATTTTCTTTTCTAGACATTACATAGCTCACAAGAGACAGTTCACTCAAACAGACTTTGCTTGGCAAAAACAAAAGCCAAAAAGAGCCTGTTGGGTTTCAGAGTACTCTACTCCATAGATTTCTTTGGTAAGTTTGGTAACCAGACTATGTTTAGCACATGGAGGGTAAGGAAATCTGAATACATTGTTTATATCTCTTAAAAATCAGTTGCCTTTCTATGATTCTAGGTGAAAGCCAGATTTAGGCATCTCCGACTTTAGAACACAAAAGAGTGAGGTGACTTACTGAAGAAATAGGTACAGTTCAATTTGATATCAAACAGAAAAAAAAAAGGAAAAGATCATATTCTACTTGTTTGGCAGGGAGAATCAGAAGGTATTCTTGTGGAATGTTTTTGAAATGATCCAGGTTTAGAAAGTCTCAACTGTGTCTTAATCTCTTTGTTGGAACCTTCTCAGTGATCTTAGACTCTCACTTCTGCCTCTACAAACAGTTCTTTTCCCACCTCTCCCTTGTTATCTCAAGACATCCAAAAAGTAGCTAAGTAGTTTTTGGTGCAAACCTGAAGTCAGACTTGACCTATAGATTTAAATGTATTGGTCAACTTCAGTGAAATCACTTAAGAACTCTGTATCTGAAGGTACAGGTTAACTTAGGTCATGTTTCAAGCATGGAATGGAATAAAGAGTCTGAAGAGCTATTAGATGCAGTGGTCTTTTGACACCACTGAGACTGCAGGGTCTTCCAATTGTATGTAGTTGGCTGGGTGGGTTCCCTTTCTAGCAAACCAACTCTAATGGAGATACTTCTCTGGATCCTAAGCAGCTGGTGGCACAAGCAACTTGGTACCTATTTTCTCCAGCCTCTTCCCAAGGGGTTTCCCAAACAACACCACAGATCTCTCCTGCTTGCTTATTTCCTGGTTTTTTAGTTACAAACTCAATTTATTTAGCACTTGGAAAATGGGTTTATTATCAGAATAAGGCAGACAGAGAAATGAAGCTATTTCCATGAAGATCTTCTAGAATCCAGGTTTAGTATTAACAGTAAACTAGTCCCAATTTCCCAATTCTTAACTCTCTAGATGGGGAAAAAGGGGCTGAATCTCACTGTTCATTAGCTTACAGGATTGAGCCCTCTATTTTCTTTCCCTGAGTCAGATTCTGGGTGTTAGATGGCCCCTGGCTGCTGGGGTTGACCTTTAAGACAGCAGGAGGGAATGTGAATTGGGTGTAAGACCCATTATAGGATTTACAGTTTGTAGCAGCTGTTTTTTCTTCCTACTGAGAAGACCTAGTGACAATAATAGGCTCTAGAAGCATTCTGGATGGATTCCAAGCGCTATGAGGAAATTTTAGATAGCGAAGCAGTTAAATATATAGGAACAAGTGGGACTGTTTCCTAGGCTTTCATTTTGCGCAAGCTCTCATTTTCCTTCCACAGTTGATCAAATGAGATGAAGGTTGCATGTCCATGTGCCAGCAGCTGTTACATGAATAGAGCTGCGAGTTTCTGTTTAGTCGTATGGCTATATCTTAATCCAGCTAAACCCAGAACAAGCCAGACAGGCCACACCACATAGTTTAGAGACGACTTGCACTCTCATAGCAAATCAAGGCAATAGAAACAGCGTAGCATGGCAGAGATACTGCATGAAAGGTGCCCAAGAAGGTTTGTGACCAGAGACTGTCCAAGAGATGAGATGAGATCCCACTTGGGCCACCTGGCAGGCTTGGATTAGGTGATAGGAAGGCCAAAAACAGTCTTTCTGTAGGGGATGCATGATGGCAAGCCTCATCAAGTGGGATGCACTTGGTTTATCTTATTCTGAACCAAGGCAGCATTCACATACATTTGGCATAATCTACTCTGCTTCTTAGGAGATAGTCCAGGCATTTAGACCTAATACCGACATTAGCAAAAACATTTTTAAAAGCAAAGACCAGCCCACAAGCAAAAGTTAACTGTCACAACAGACTAGAGACAGTGACACCCACACCCATCTCCATTTTTCTTTTGAATGGATTGATGGAGACACACATTTTACTTTTGCAGTTATTACTGAATATGCCATACTCAATTAAAAATAAACCTGTCAGGTTCCCCAAATATGTCTTTTTTTTTTTTTAAGGAGTAGAAATCACAGGATAGTGGGGAGGGATGGTGAGTCTATCTGGGTGAAGTGTAACATACAGGATACTTTCTTGGGTTGTCTGACCACTGCCGTGGTTCACTAATAAGATTACAACAGGCAGAAATGACAGCAAGTTGTTTCTTTCTGTGTCGTTGGTATCATTCTAATAGATCTCAGCCTGTCTGCTTCTTCCCACAACCTTTGCAGTTTGAGGTTAGTTTTCTCCTGCGCTGGCCTGGATCCCATATCCCTAGGGAACCATCCTTTTCCTGTCACTCTCAACTCCATGCTGCCCCCCTTACAGACCTGCATAACTTCAACGGGGAGTCAATTAATGTCCCATGCTAGTGAAAGAAGCTTTTTCATGGAGCCTGGACTGGCAGTCCCCTAGGGAGCTCTAGGAGGCCCTTAAGAAGGGGAGGGCAGACAGAGAGCCTCAGGGTTTAAGACATCCTTAAATGTAAGAACTATTGGAAACAAAGGCCCAACCTCTGGAGGCCCCAGACTGGACTCTGCTGGAAATGCCTATAGTAAGTAATAAGGCCTATCCTCCAGCAAGACTTGGAGTTAAAGAAGGGATACTGTTCAAATATGGGATTACTCCTGGTAGCTGGTCATCCCAGCCAGTCTCAGGGAGGCTTCAGATTTCAAAGAAGATGAGTAAAACAGATGAGCTTCGAGGAGGGGCAGGCCCAAGGGTGAAAAGGTCATGTAGCCCCTGGGAACATCCTGCTGACCTTTCTCTTCCACGTCCAGACAGATTCCAGAGGTAAAATGAACAGCCCAACCACCACCAGGACATGCTGCCCATGTCTGAGAGAGGGTCTTCATAGCCAGCCAGGCAGGGTCCTCTCGGCCACCAGCAGCCTCCCAGCCAGGGAGCACCCTCCCAGCAGCAGCCAGCCAAGTAGGACCCACACAGGCACAGTTAGAAAGTCACAAGTCAACTACTTGGGGCACCTTCCCTCAGGATATGGTACCCTCAAATATCACTTCGCATTTCCAAAGAGCTGAAGGTGTAAATTCCTCCCTAATTTGCAATCTACAACAATTTGGGTGATTGACAATCTCTAGACTAGAGACACTTGACAAGGATGATAACAACAGGTAGAAAGACCCAGATTTTAGAAAGCGGTTCTCTCCTGGAAGGAACCTGCTCTTGGCTAGATCAATGGCAGCTGATGTAGGGGGTGGGGCTGGCAGTCAACAGAGGCAGAAAATCAATCTCTGATTTTCTAACGTTCTGAACCACATACCACAATCACAGTCTCCTTCATAGTTTGAGATTGAATTGGTCCTTTCAGCAACAATCTTGCGTATGCAGGTCACTCAGATCTGTGCTAACTGCAAGAGCCTTTATTTGTCTTGTCAGCAGGGTCACCTTAATTGTGAGTGCTGAAGGAGCTCCACCCAGCTGTTCAGTGCCACATGATTTTCTTTGAAAGGCCCTGCTGTAATAGTGAGACTTGCTGGGTGTCCTTTTCTAAGTAAACAGGAAATATCACTCTGCTTAAAAAAAAAAAAAAAAAAAGAACCCCTCTCCTCAGCACAATTGCTAAATAATATGCTAACTTATATTTCCTGTGAGTGTTGAATTAGGAACAGGATCTATTTCTTACGACAGCACAGTCCTCTTCTTTGCTTCTAACCCTTCAGCCAGCAGAATCTCAGCAAGGCCCAGCTGACTAGGATATTTTAAAAATGTTCCCACTGATTTTTGGAAGGCAGTAGCATCACAGGTAGGAAAGATAACAATACATGAGGGGAAAAAAACCTCTGCAAAATCACACTGAATGGGCAAGATGGTACGCATCTACATTTTTGTCACAGCAAGTATCAGTGTTCTGATATTTGACCACCTTTCTTGATCTGAACAATCCGAAGCTTTGAGCCGGTCGAGAGCATGGACACGGGCGATGGTTCTTCTCTGTCACATCAGGACCTGGGTTCGTGTGTCAGGCAGGCGGAGCCCCACCAGTCCTCCACACACGAGCACAGTGGAGGCCAGCAGGATGGGGATTGCTTTGGTGATACCCACCAGGGAGCCGAATATTAAGTTTCCAAGCACAGCCGCTGCTTTGCAAAGTGCATTCAAGAAGCCAAAGCCTGTTGCCCTGCAAAGGAAGGAGATAGGATCAAGCTTGAGAAGATGATTCCAACACTCCAATTCAGGACATCACTGTCCTATAGAGTAATTTTCAATGTCTTCCAGTAGGCTGTTGTGTATTTCATTGGAGCAAATAACTAAGTGCTTATCAGCACATCCAGAGAAAGAGAAGCCAGGTTGGTCTGGTTCCTTCAGTTATCTTTGACCTTCTCACATGGGTTGATTGTTATTTTGCCCATGCATTCTGATTTGCTGTGAACAGAACAAGTAAGGAAACTTTAAGGAGGAAGAAGGATCCTGTTTTTTCAAGAGTTAAGTAAAAATTCCTGACATCTTTAGATTTATTTATTTATTTTACTTCCTTTTTTCTCTTAATATGAGACTTTAAATAAGTAAAGCTCATGAACTCTTCAGCAATAATCCTGGGTGATTGGGTTTTATTCCTCATCTTTGGGTACCATGGAAATAAACCTACATGTTCTCTTCCAAATGCTTCCAAAAAGCAGTAACTGAATATTGAACTGGACAGTCCACCAGAGAGCTAGTATGACACTCTTATATCCTCTCGAGAGGTCTCGATGGGAATCAAGTCCAAGAAAATATTATAGAGAATCAGAGTGTGGGCCTTGAGCAGACCTTGCTGACTCCACTGGCATTAAAGGTGTGTAGGTGGTGTAGACATAACTCACCTTCCATTTCTTGAGACATTTTTTGAGAAAGAAAAAAATTAACCTCATAATGCACATGTGCTTTTCCTGGGTCTTCTAGGCAGCAAACTTAATTTTGTCTGACATTGTGAGATACTTCTATTTCTTCCACTTTAGACACACTCACTGTCATTTTGTCTGTCCCTGGGTCCAAGTGTTTATCCAAAGCACATCAAATGCAGGGTGACTGCTGGATACACGTCTCCCCTCCAGAGAGAAGTGCATTTTATAAGATGCATATGCAGCATGTACTACACCTCTTTGATTTGTAAATTCTTAAGTGTGGGTTTTCCTCTAGTCAGTTGAAACAACTGCTTCTCACTGCTTGTCCCGATCCTACTGACCTTTCCTATTACACACGTGCTCCTCGTAATCCAGCATCTGTAGTGCTTATTAACTAACTGTCCTCTTCCCACATCACAGGAAAGGAGCAAGCACTGTTCCTTAAAGGCAGGAGCTGTGCTTCTGAGCTGGTGCAGGGCCAGCGATGTTTACTGCTAGGACAAACCTAAGAAAGGGCAGGCAGCAAGCATGACTTTCTTTTTGGCCAAGACAGCAAGAAAGTAGGGCAAGCCGGCCCCCACTGTTTGAAATGTGAAAGGGGCCGAATGGAATCAGTGGCTGAGAGACACAGATGCTTCTGAAGATTAGCTATTTTGCATTCTTCATTTTTCTTTTTGGCTTGTTTTTGAAAAAAAAAAAAAAAAAAAAAAAAGAGAGAGAGACTAGCAAGAGAAACACCCACCAGAAGATGAAGAGATTTAATATACCGATAACTAATTTCAAATGAAATTGCTTGAGGCTACATGTTGGGTACCAAAGAAGACCAAAGAAGAAAGACATCCACTGCGCACCCGCTCACTGTCCTTGAGGTTGAACGTGTACTCTTTAAAATAATAATAATAATAATAGGTTTTTGAAAAGTTTTAGGTTTTAATAAAATTGAGAGAAAAGTCCCTATATGCTTCTGCACTCCCCCCTCACCCAGTTCCCCTATGATTAACATCTAAGAGTTATAGTTGTTATATAACACTATCATATAATGTTAACATCTTTGTTATAATTGATGAGCCAATGTTATACATTATTATCACCTAAAGCCCACGCATCATGTTGTACATTCTGTGGACTCTGGTGAATGTATAATGGGATGTAGCGACCACTACAGTATCAGACAGAATAATAATTTCACTGCCCTAAATCCCCCGTGTCCCCACTATCATCCCTCCTTCCTTCCTCTTAACCCTTAGCAACAACTGATGTAAGTGTTTCCATAGTTTTGCCTTTTCTGGAATGTCACAGAATTGAAATCATACAGTTGTGTAACTCTTTCATTTCTAAAAAAGCACATTTTAATTTCTAGATTCTAGAGTCATAAATTACCAAATAACATCATACAGTAGTAAGATAAGCTGTATCGTTTTGGGGGAAATGGTTAGTATATATGTCACTGATAAAAGGAAAACATTCTCCTGTAGGAAGAAGTCATTCTATGTTAAAACTGCAGAGTAACCTAAAAAGAATTTATATCTGGGTTAAAATCACACTATTTCATCAAGCGTAACCCTCTGGTATAATAATTACCGACAACATAAAATAGGGGCGACTCTCCAGAAATCACAGAAACTGTAATGGGGGGAATAGATGAGATTTCTGGGCAGCGAGATGCCTCAGGAGTATCTGAAGCTTTTAGAAAAGATGATCAAATCCTTATCCTCCGAGAGTCTCTGATTTTATTTACCAAACAGCAGCAGTTCTTCAGATGAGAATCTAGGATGGATGCAAAGCATATCGCCTTCTTAAATTAGTCTTGGCATGCGAGAAAACTTGCCTGTCCTTTCCTTGTATAAATCAATTAATTCTTTAAATACTTGCAGCTGCAGGGTGTGATTTTTCTATGCAACAGAGGCACACAAGCTGTCTTAGGAAAAATCAGTGGCTCTCCCTTGGGGGTTATCTGTTTATAAGGTAAACAAGCTTTTCGTTTATTCATTCCCAAGTGCTCAGAGGAAAGACTAACTTCTGCAGACAAGGAAAGTGCAAGTCACTTTGTGCTCATAAAGTCCATTGCAGTTAGGGAGCCCCCATAAGCTGACTTCTCAGCAGCAGGATGAGCTACCAAGTTATTTTTCAGACTAAAAATGTCTCCTGCCTTCTCTTAACCAACAAGCACCAAAGGGAAAGATGAAATGATTTCTCATTTTCTAGATGCTCCATCCCTTGATTCTCCCCACCTCTCTTGCTCAAGCTATTTTTTTATACCCTTAAGATGGAAATTCTTACTCCAAAGATACCCTGTGCCCACCTCTGTTACTATATTTCCCTGACTGAGAATCAGGGGCTGGTGCAGGAGGCTGGCTTGCTGCAGTGCTTGGGCTTAGCTGATGGGGAAGATGGCCCCAGAGTGGGCCTGTACTGAGACTGCTCTGATGTCTTCTCTCGGGCCTCCATAGCTTAGTGGTTCCAGTTCATTTATATTATTTTCTGTTTTAATTGCTGGTGGGAAAAAGGAAATGGTTGACCGCATTCTGGGCAGAGTGAAGATAGATCTGCTTCATATCCAGCCTCTTTGGTTTTTCTAACTTCAGGGCAGGGTCAGTAGTGGGATTTTTGAGGCTCCTGGGAAGGAGAGAGGGCTGCTAAATAATATCAGCACATAGGCAGTGCCTGACACATAGCATACATATTGGCTGAAATGTATTTTGAAGGAAAAAAATGCTGTACCTGAAAAGGACTGACATAGTGGGGGGTCCAGAATCAGCTGGTGGAACTTGCCTACTTAAGGGTGAAATGTGAGCACACTCTTTGTCTAGTTTAAACTTTTGGAAAGTAGCTTTTTCTGGACAACTCAAACCCCTGGAAGTTAGGAAAGGAATATTCAGGACTCAGCATGGGGCATTTGGAAAGTACAGGCAGGCCTTAAATCAGGAATACAGTGTGACATGAAGATTCATGTGAAAGTTGGTTATTTAAAAGAATTTCATTTTTCTCATGGACATAATATTACAAAAAATGGCTAGGCTCCCAAGTTAACCCCCCAAAGTTACTTTAACACTGAATCCATCTGAGTTAGCCTACTATACCAAGAACACTGGGAATCCCTGGAGCATTTGTCTAATGAGCAAATCTGTTCTAATATAATCCTGATTTACACTTTCTCCTATGCATTTATTCATTCAATAATCATTCATTAAGCACCTATCATGTGCACAGCACTGCACCAGGCACCTCAAAAAAAATAAGGAGAAGTTCCCATTTGCATTAAGATAGATGCAAAGAAGTCACGATAACACAACAGGCTAACTGTAGTGATACATGCAGTGTGTGACTCAGAAAGGTGACAGGGCCACAGCCTGAAGTTACCCAGGTCTTTCTTGGCAGTGTGTGCACTGGGTTCAGGTCTCTCCCACAGTTACAAAAGAGGAAAGTAGAAGAGGGTCTCCAACAGCCAGTGCTGTCTGGGGGAGGAAGCGCTGTCGGGTGAAGACTGGAGGTCACTGGCTGTGATGACCAAGTGGAAGAGGGACACAGAAGGGCAGCCGAGAGGGCACTAGGAGGGCTGACACTTCGCTGACAACTGCTCCCACCAACCCGCTGGGAGAGCAGGGAGCATTGACAAGGGTAGAGACAATAATCCACAGCCAACCAACTGAACCTCAGAAAACATATTTCTGTGTTTCATCCATTCATCTGGAGTTACCACAGAAACAAGGAATACAAAACACTGTGTGCTCAAGGAGCTACAGTCTCCTGAATGACCTGTAATATCTGAGTAAATATTCAACCTAACACTTATGTGGTGATTTGCTTTCAAGGTACTTCAGTATAAAAAAAGAGTTGTTGGACCCTCCCTGATGGTGCAACAGGTTAGCACATAGCACTGCAAGGATGCAGCCACCTCAGTGCGAGTTTAATCCTTGGCCCTGGAAGTGACTTACATGGTGTGGCAGACCTCTCCTGACCCACCTGCTACTCTCCTCAGCAGTGTACTTCGTTGATCTGCCTTTTCTGCTCCCCACTCTGTCTCTAGTGAATCCTTCTACTGCCTCTGCACCTCTGACCTGTACTCCAGTTCTGTATGCATAAATAAATAAATCTTAAAAAAAAAAAAAGATATTGGGCCCTCCCTGGTGGCGCAGCGGGTTAAAGCACAGCACAAAGAAGCTCAAGCCACTTCCTCATGAGTTCGATCCCGCCTGATCCCGCCTGCCCTGGAGGAGATCCACATGGCGAGGCAGACCTTTCCTGACCAGCCTGCTGCTCCCCTTAGCAGTGTACTTCATTGATCTGTCTGTTCTGC